CTTGGTAACCTGGACTATTTACTTAGCCTCTTGAAGTTTCCGTTTCCAGATGGAAAAATGGACAAAAATAATAATACCCATCTCCTAGGACTGTTGGGAGATGGAACTAGATAATCATAGATGACCAACACTTGTACAGCACAGTCACTGCTCAGCAGGCCAGCTACCTGCAGGGTGGGTCTCGGGGGAGTGACAGGAGATGCGAGGGCCTCAGGTCCCTGCCTGCGTGCCTTGTCCATATTATTCATCCAACTTGGGTGAACCTTCCATTCAGGTGAGACTGCTGTCAACACTCTACAGGCAAAGGCCACTGGGAATTCACCTGTGCTTGAAGAAGTTAGGTATGTGACTACTCACGGCAGCAAGGTAGAGCGTACACCCTCAGGAACCACAGGGAGTTTCAGGAACAGAGGCCAGAATGAACTTATTCTGGGATCTGGGCTTTGTTTGGGACATGGGGCTGGTTGAAAGAAGCAGGGGTCAATCAGCCCAGGCCGGGTGCTGTCAGAAGGCAGGGCAATTCCGTGGCTGGGCATCTCAGTAAATCTTACATGTAGGGAGGGCAGACAGGCAGAGGATAGAAAGTTGCGGTCACTCGTTTCAGCCAAGACGGGGTGTCCGGTAGTTTGTGGGTGGCCCAGTGACCTTGTTTTGTCTCAGAGGAACCCTGTCGATGCTGGTGCTCTGTGAGGTTTCTTAGGTCCTGCGGGACACAGATGTATCCTGGCTGTGAGAGCCCAGCCTGTTTCCAGACGGCAGAGGCTGCTGCTTTTCCTTTCTTAGTTCTGGACTAAGTTCTGAGAGCAGCAATCAGTCTCTGCCTTCAGGGAGTTCACAGCCTGCAGGGAAGCAAATATTTACAACACCATTTGAAAAGCACAATGATGGAGGGGTTCCATCTGGAGAGAAGAGCAGAGGGCAGCATCAGGGAGGCTTCAAAGGGGAGGGTGTATTTGATCTGGGACAAGGGGAGAGAGAGAGAGAGGAAATCCTTTATGTGCCTGGCAGCCGATGATGTGTGCCCAATTAGAAATTGAATTCAAGCCCCAGCAACTGTGCAACTACGGACATTTTCTTCCTTTCTTTCCAGGAAGAAAAATAGCCTTTCTATTTTCATCATTGAAATCGCCATTTGTCATTCTCAAGGTGCCTGGCTGCCTTTGTTTCTGCCGTCAGCTGGCAGCAACGTTGCTAAAAATAGCCGGTGGAGGGAACCGCTTCACGCTGAGCATTAAAAATAGAAAGGGAAGCACTGGTGTGAATAATGCATGGGAGAGAGTCCCCCTCACGCAGGCCTCTAGGGCCTGGCTGCTGGGCAGGGCTCTGCAGGGCAGGGGGCATTCAGGCATTTGTTTCGCTCCTGCTTCAGTGACAGGGTCACCCACAAATTACAGTTTGCCCCCTGGCCTGCCTCAGGTCTGGAAGGATGAGGAGGCTTGGAATGCAAATCAGGTGTCTAATTTGTAGGCAGAAACTCAAATGCCAGCTTGGGCTAAGACAAAGGAGGGAGTGGGCCTGTGACGTGGCAGTGAGGGCATATCCTATCTAAAGGCATGTAGTTGGAAAAAAAAAGACACATTGCTAGCCAATCAGAGCAGGTCTGCAAGGGGAGTTTAACTCAGAAGTCATCAGTATGCTTTCTGCAAAATCCACAAGCTGCTCAAAGTTGAGACCCACATTACATCAGCCAAAGGGGGGCTCTGCCCACATCCATGAACATTCTAGTTCTTCATCAACTTGTTGAATAGCCAAATGCTCTTAGAAGGACACAAAAAATGTGCCTTTACACTACAAAAAAAAACGTCCCAGCCACTAGTTTCATTTCTGGCAGTCCCAGAGTGTCAGAGCTGAAATAACTCAGAGACTGGTGGTAAATTAGCGGCCCCTGAGGCCCAGAGAGGGGAAAGAAGTTGTATCAGGACACACAGCACAGCTACCTCAGAGGCAGGGCTGACCTGCCTCCTCACTAGCCCCCACTTCCGTTTCCCAGAGGCGTCCTGCTGAGTCATCTCTTCAAATCCTTGGTGGAATAAGCACCTTGTTCCCAAATGCAGACTCCGTCTGTGCCTCGAAGCCTTGAGACAGGTGAAATTCATTGTGTCTGAGCCCGAGTGCAACTCAGGCTTGGCCTGCAGCGAGTTCCTGGCCCTGAGGTGGGCGGCCAGAGCAGGCACAGACCCCTGGCATCGCCCTGGAGTGAAGGGTCTCTGTTGCATTCAGCTTTGTAGGTAGGTTTCGATTTGATGCCACTCTCAGTATCCAATCAAGTCCTCCCAGCTCTCCTAAGAGAGAGATCACTCTGCTGCTAATTAACTCCCTCTCCATCCCCAAGGGTGCGGGCTTCATCCTCAGCCCACGCCCAGCAACCTCGCTTTATGGCCCAGGACACAACTCTGGAATCCGCTTGTGCTCCAGTCCGGTTCTGCCCTTTACCATCTGCACGCCTTCGAGCAGGGTATCTCATATCTCCGCTCCGGTTTCCTGCTCCAGAAATGGGACGAATATCACTGCTCCACCAGGGCTGAAGCTAAGATCACAAATGAGAAATGCTGACCCCAGGAACCGCCCCCAACAGATGAGATCCCCTCCCCTTTCCCAGAGGCCCCGCCCTCCCGTCTACATCGCAGACTTCCGGGATTTCCCGACTGGGAGCCGAGTTGGAATCCCAAGTGGGTGGTACCGTACTCCCTTGGTGGCCTCAGGAAGTCAGGAACCTCGGGCACCCTTTCCCTTGCTTGTGAATGACCCTTGTGGGTTGCAGAGCAGTTAGTGAGGAGCCCGTGGCAGAGTGGGTGCCCAGCAAAGGACAGCTGTGATTACCCAGCCCATCCCGCAGGCCTCCAGCCACAGGAAAACCATTTTCCTTGTAGGCGGCCACGGAACTGGTGTGGAATCTGCTTAATTTAGTGGCGAGTCAACTTGTATTTTCCTGTCTTTCCCGCCCAGTTCACTTAATCATTTATTCTTTATTAATTCATTAGTCACACCCCGAACACTTAGACTCCGGGCTGGATCCTATGCTGCTCAGGCCATTACCGGGCAGGAATGCGACATGCCCCACCCCTTTGGGGGTTCCCTGGGAAGTAAGGTCGCTCTGGCTCATTTCTGTCAAGAACCTTGAAGATTCTGCGGGCCTCTCCTAAACGATCCCTGTTTTAACCTCGTCCTCCTACTGACCTGGTAAAGTCACGTCCCCGAAGAGCACCGCGTCCTGGTCCTTGGAATCTATGGATGTTACCTTATATGGCAAGAGGGCCTCTGCAGATGTGATTAAGCATCTTGATATAGGGAGATAATCCTGGATGACTGGGGAGAGGAGCTAAATGCCAGTGCCAGTGTCCTCCTAAGAAGGAGGCACAGGGACATTTGACTTCAGAGGAGAAGGTAATATGACAAAGAGAGGCAGAGATTGGAATGAAGTGGCGATGGAATGCTGGCTGCCTTGGAAGCTGGAAGGGACGAGGGATGGATCCTACCCTGGAGCCTCAGAAGGAGCAGGCTCTGCCAGCTCCCTTATTTTAGTTGGTAAGTCTTCTTTTGAATTCTTATCTCCAGCCCTGTAGGGGAATAAATTTGTGAGGTTTTAAGCAACTAAGTCTGTGCTGATTTGTTACAGTGGCAACAGGTAACAAATGCAGTGGGCATTGATATTTTTGTCCCTAATTTACAGTCCAGAAAACAGATTTGGAAGGGTTATGTGGGTTACTACTATTAAGCAAGTAGTAAATCACATTTTTCCACCAATTCCTTCTGTCCGCTGATGGGTTCCCTGTAGTCTGTGAGGGAAAAGTGAATACACACAGGCTTGCTTTCTTTCTCCTTAAATCTATGACTGCTCAGTTTTTCTGATAATTAGAGAGAAGAAAAATGAGCAGTAATTTTAGTGTCTTGGACATGGCTGTGCTTACAGAGTAGAACATGGACTTGTTCCATTTCAAGTTTTTGCCTGCTTAGTGGACAAGAAGGGGGCCCTTGAGGGTTGGAAGGAATAAATTTGGAATAAGTGTAGACTATCTCACTGTATCAGGTAAGTTTGTGTTCACTTGTGACTTGTAGCTAATCCTACCATAGTGACCTATAAAAGAAAGGGATTTGTTTTCCTCATTTATAAAGTCCAGTAGCTCAAAGATGCCATCAAGGAGGCACGCTCCTCCTGCCTCTGTGTGTGTGTGTGTGTGTGTGTGTGTGTGTGTGTGTGTGTGTGTGTGTGTGTATTCATCTCAGCTACCCTTTTTAGTTTGCAAATTTGGAGGAAACACCAAGCGCCTGTGACTTACATTGTATCTTAGAGGGAAAAAATTAACTGGCTGCTGATCCAGTGAGCAAAGGGTCAGGAAATCAGCTCCACAGCATCAGAACAAGTAGAACATCTGTATGAGCTGCCCATGCAGCGGTCAGATGAAAATCCATAGCACAATGACTAAGCAAATATAGTACAGAAGAAATGAATATACTTACAAAATGAATGCATCGTGCAGAAGTCAGACAAAGATCTCAACTGATAAGAAAGCATAGCTCATGCGGGGGAAAGAGATGTGTCATGATTGCTTCATGCTATAGAATAATTCAATAAGAACATTCATGCAACATTTAAAAGTTCAAACAAAAATTGATGCAATAACAGCGTAAGATAACAAGGAAAATTTAGATGTGGGTCCCAGTAGGAAACAGAAAGATGCTCAGCTAGGATTTTGAAGAGAATTTAACCAAGGGTCCAATCACAGAGGCCTGCTCAGGATAAGGGACGCCACTGAGGAATGTTAAAGCACTCAAGTACTGGAAGATGGTAGGAGGCTGATACCCACCCTGGGCCTGTAAGGAAAATGGGGAGGAGCCCCCACACTCCCAGAAGTGTGGAAGAAGGGCCAGCCAACATGCACATGGGCAAAGAGGGATACAGCAATGCTAAAATCAGAGCAACAGCAGGCAGAGAGGGGAGCAGGTATGCCCCACATTTCCTCCATTTTCTGACCTCCTTCTCGTGTCTCCCACTAGCTGAATCCGGCCAGAGGAGAAGGGAAAGGCAGATGCGTGGTTCAATCCTCATGGTCAGCCTCTCAGGACACAGAGCAGAGCAGAGAAAGGTAAAGGATAAATGGGCCCTTGGCAGGTATGGGAGGGAGGGTGTGTCTGGACAGGTGGGTGGGGACACAGTGACCCAGCTGTGGGAGTGTCCTGTAGGCGGGGCCCAGGGGACAGAGGCACTGTGGTCAGCAACCATCCTTTCCTGACAAGCGGTCATTCTCACTCTTTCTAGTAACAGCCCGAGGAGTCCCCTGGTGACAAACACCTGTCCTCCTGATCAGCTCAAATGGTTTAGGAGCAGCTGGCCTGTCCGCATCCCACGGCTCACAGGTGGTCATGAGATCAATGCCTGTTCCACCAACACAGTCCTACCCTGGTCACAGGAAGGTGAGCTAAGTCAGTCCAGTGGGACTAAGTCTTCTAGTCTGATCAAAACTCTGTGTGTTTGGGGTTGCAGGAGATGACCTCTGCTGGGGTCACTGGGCTGGGAGAGTAACAGCCTGGACAGAACTCACCTGAGAGTAAAAGGGACACAGAGTGAGCTGAGCTGCTCAGTAAAGAGAGGCCTGGGCTTGCTGACATTGCCTGAACCCCTGGTTCTGCTGTACTTGGAACTCCTGAACTTTGCAGCTCCGTGACCCCCTTTCTGTTAAACCAGTTGAGGTGCCAGCTCTGCACTTGAAACCAGAGTGTTGAATGATGGGATAGTCATGTAGGGCAGGCCTTGCACAGAAAAAAAACCCATGTGCATCAGATACACCATTAAATGCACTGAGATGTTTTGACCAGCTGCCTGGTTGGCTGGGACTGTCCTGGGTTTAGCAACGAAAGTCCCCCATCCCAGGGGCCCCTTCAGTCCCTGGAAAATCCCAGCAGTTGGTTACTATCAGGTGGAATTCATGTTTATTCTGGCAAAGAGAAGAGTAGGGGGAAAATGGGGCTATTTTCAAATATCTGAAGGGTTCTCACACATCAGAGAAAATCAGTGGTTCGGTGTGACTCCAAGGGTTAGAGGCAGAATAATTCAGGAGAGGTTAGAACATGAAAAGGGAGATTGTCTTCATTATAAGGACAATTTTTCTAAATCTCAGAACTGTTCAGGGTGGGACTGGCTTGCTATGCAAGGGGAATCTGGGAGAGGGTTTCTGTGCTCTGGCTCTGGGTAGGCTGAGCTGGGGGCGGACCCTGGCTTTACCCCCACCAGCTGTATGGTTCAGCCAAGTTAGTTAAACTCTCTAATCCTGCTTCCTCATCTGTGAACTGGTAGTTATAATAGTGCCTACTTTTCTGGGTTGTTGAGAGGATTAAATGAAAAAAAGCTGAGTAACTGCTCAGTAAGTTCTAGTGATAAATACTGAGAGGCTAGGAGCTCCCTCCTCAGTAATACAGGCTGGACGGTCCCTTGGTATGGAGGATCTCGAGGAAGTCCAGGACCGATGCCTGTACAGGACTCAGGAATTCACTGGAATTTTCTTTCTAGGCAAACATTCTGTTTTGATTTGATTTCATATAAAAAACGTTGCTGATCTGGCCATTTCAGATGGATGCTTGGGATAATTTTTGACAGACTTGCCTTGTAAAGCTCTTTCAGGCCTCCTTAAAATACATTTTGCTGAGCTTCAAAATGAGTAGCATCTATCTGCTCCCAGCTGTCTGGACCCACAGTTATTTCTGCCCTCAGCCACCTTAATGAAGTTGTTAGAGTGACAGAGTGCGTGACGAGACACAGCACTTGAGCAGCGTCAGGGAGGCGCTGCAGCAGCTGCCCCAAGATGAGCAGTCAGCCACGGGGGCTTCTCTCTCTCCCACCTCCCACTGGACCAGCTCCAGGCGGGAAGGCCAGGGCAGTCAGGCGACAGCACTGTTTTAGGCCAACATCGTGGCTGTGAAGATAAAATACTGCCCTTTAATTTCTTTAAAATGTTTGGCATTTTTTAAAAATTGAGGTACTACTTTCATACAGAAAGGTGAGCACACCTGTAGTGTGCATTATGATGACTTTTTATAGATGTATACCCATGTAACCAGTGCCAAGGTCAAGGTGTAGAATATTTCCATCCCCTGGAAGACCCTTGTGCTCTTCCTCAGTCGTTACGCCCCCCACCAGAGGTAACCACTATTCTAAGCTCTGAAACCATATATTAGTTATGCCAATTTTTGTTCTTTGTATCAATGGGATTGTACAATATGTGCTATTTTGTATTTAGCTTCTTTTAATCCATGTAAGATCTATGAGATTCATCCATGTTTTAGTGTGTATCGGTAGTTTGTTCTTTTCTATTACTATATAGTCAGCAATTATGCATCTAAATTATAATTTTCTAAAGTTAAAAATTTAACTCTTATTAACAAATAAATGTAAATTTCCCATGTATCAAAGATTTTATTCAACGCATTAATTATGAGGGAATCAGTAAAACATTAAAATAGGTTCCAGTGAGTATTTGATTTCCTGAGATTTATATCCTCTACAAGATAAATTTGTTGGCATTGCTATGAACAGGAATCTTTTCAATTACCATGAACAGGAAATATTGGCAATGATGTCGGTTTTCCATAACTGCCATCTCTCCAGAGTTATACAGTCATATAGTCAACAGATAGGTGTACCCCCCATACTTGCACAATTCCTGGAGGGTCCTCTTGACAATACCCAGTGCTATGCTGGAAGGACACCCAGGGATCTCTTTGGCTGGTTTCCAAGTCTTGGAAAAAAGTCCTGACAGTATGAACATACCTCAATTTATTTATCCATTTGCTTGTTGATGAGTGTTTGAGTTATCCACAATTTGGAATTATTGTGAATAAAGCTTCTATGAGCATTTTTTGCCCATATCTTTTGTGGACACATGCATTCACTTCTCTTGAGTATATACTAAGGAGTGGAGCTGCTGATTCATAGAAAATTGCAGTTAGCTTTAATAGATACTGCCAGGCAGTTTTCCAAAGTCATGGTAACGTTTCAAGCACTCCAGGGATGCACAGTCATTCCAGTCGGTCTGTGTCCTTGCTGACATTTCGTGGTTCTTAATTTGAGCCATTCATGGCGTGTGCAGATACTATTAGTTTTTATTCCCTAAGTCAGGAATTTGCTTCCATGTGCATAAGAATTACCTGGGCTGCTCTTTTAAATGTGTTTGCAGTTACCAGACCATCAGCAGAAGTTTTTACTTGGTAGCTCTGGGTTGAACTCAGAAATTGACATTATTAATAAGCACTTTATTACTAAGAAAGCATTCTAGGAAATGCTGACTCAGATAACTCAGGACCGTGTAATCTGTGGGTTCCTGCTGCTCTTGCCTGGCCTTGGAGTGCATCCTGCCAGGAGAGCAGGGGACACCCCTGTCAGCTCACAGATTTCTGATTGTGCAGTAGTGATAACACCATCTATTATCTTAATTTTCCAAACAGTCCTCCAAACTGAGACCTTGGTTTTGCAAATGGGGACATTGAGGTTCTGCAGGTAATTGAGGAGACATAAGGATTTATGTCCAAGAACTCTTGACAGAAGATCAAGGCTTAGAACCAAGGATTTTCCCATCCCCTAGCAGTGACTTTTCTAAGAACATCAATGGCTTGGTCACGTTTTGGTTGTTATTTTTACTAGCAGAGGCTTTTTTCTCTCCAAGATAGTTTTAAGTAAAATCCCACTATATGGAACACATCATAATTAGGCTGCTAGGGTAGCAGAGGGCCAGGAGCACAGCTCCTTGCCTCTAGGACCTTTCTGAGCTCCAGTGTCCTCCTATTTGTAATCTGCCTGTGGGCCTGTGCCCTCCCCTCGGCTCAAGGATGAGGGCTTATAAACCACAGGACCCCAGCACTGTCCCTCGAAGGCCCTGAGTACACCCCATTTTCTTTTATTTAAGAACAGATCCATTGCCAAAATCTGGATTCTCTTTTATTTAAACCTAAATATAACTTGAGAGCAACATGTAACCTCGGAAGTGAGAGAGCATGTCATTCAGAAAGACAGTAGCTTTTGTGGGACAGCAATTGGAAGGCTCAGGAGGCATGAACTGGGGTCCCAGTGGCAGAGGAACCTCTTGGGACTTCATTACCAAAAGCAGGTGGAGGAGGACAGAAACATTATTCGGAAGGGAATCACCCCCAAAGCCCAATCATGTCAGTTTTGCACGCTGGTCTTCTCCGTCCTCAGAGGGCAGGCTGTTCTCATCAAAGTCAGAGATGGCTTGTAGCATGCTTTGCCATCCTGGACCTGCAGCGTCCAGTCATGTGACCGTAAGCCAGTCACTCCGCGTCTCTCATCCTTAGTTTTCATATCTGTGCATCTGTATGAAGAACATTGACCTCAGAGGTAAGAATGAGGATTATGTGAGGTGCATGGTAGCATGGGACTTGCAGGCTGCGGGAGCTGCTCAGAACAATGCGTTTCCTGCCCCGGTCCCCCTGTTGAGCAAAGTGTTTGCCTTGCAGATCCACCAGCCATTTGAGGACTGATGTGGTAACAGTGGGGCGACCTTCCTCTCTGCCTGCCTCCTGGGAGCAGGACGAGCCATTCCCTGCTCTGCAGAAGGCAAAGGGAGGGGGGCAGTGATGACATCAGCGGGAGGGCCTGGAGAGAGACATGTTGTGCAGCACATTCTATGAACATGGGAGGATGAGATCACTGAACCATCTACTGCAGGAACAGAGGCAGCACTGCAGCCAGACTCAGGGGTAGGTACTGTGAGAGCTGCAGTCCCGGCCCACCGGGGATAACAGTCATCACTAAAACGTCCTGAGCACTTCGTGTGTGCTAAGCAACTGTTCACATGCTCTCCTATCTGCACAACAACCACGGCAGATGCCATCGTTCTCTCAGCCCACGGTGTGGGCTGTGGGGCCCTGAGGGTTTGTGGGCCTCCCCTGGGGTCTCCTGGGTGCAAGGAGTGTGGCTGTGCTCAGTGGGGCCAAACAGCAGGTCAGTTAGGGTGCTGGCACAGAGGATCAAATCCAGTGGCTTCAAGGCTCAAAGTTGATTTTCCTTCTGTGTCCTTTCCTCTTGTGTCTTCCCGTAAGCTGTGAGAGATCGGGCCCCTTTGATGGTATCCCTCTGCCCACCCCCCAACAGGCTGTTGCCCGGGCTGTGTGGTCCCTGAGGACTCACCACCAGCCTCACCCCAGGCGGCAGGAAGCGGTCAGAGGAAGGAGAGGCACTTTGCCTCCATCACTTCCGCTCCCGAGCCGTTGGCCTGAAATGGGTTATGAGGTCCTATCGAGCAGCAAGAGAGGCGTGTGAATGCCTGTTTTAAGTTAAAATGTATTGTTGTTAGGAATGTAGTAGTGAAGGAGTGTTAGCGGGCCGCCAGCGCTCCCGGTCACAGTCACCCCGCAGCTGTGTCTCAGATCAAGAGGACTGGCTAAGCATGACTAGGACTTTGACATCTTAAGACGAAACATACACCTCGGCATAAACAAACATCTGTAGGCACCTACCATGTATAGGGAAATTTATGAGAAGCCATGGGTACAAGACCTATAAGCTGTTTCTCTGCGAACAAAAGAGGACATAGCATGAGCTGAGTATGTCCTAAGCACCCGCAACTGGCCTGGGTGCGTCCCGTACATCATATCACACAGCTGTCTCAGCACAACAGTTGGGAGATGAGGACACTAAGGCTCCAGATGGGAAAGGACTTAACTAAGTTCATGTGTCTCCTGAGTGATCAGATCAAGACTCAAATCCCAGCAGTGTGACCCTGGGCAGTTACTTACCTTCTCTGTACCTACGACCTCTTCTCTAAAGTGGAGAAGATAATACCTACCCCATAAGACTGATCCCTGCAGGCTGGGGATGCTTTAATATAGTTAAAGCCCTTGGGAGAAGGCCTGGCTCATAGCAAGCCCCAGCAAACAGCTAGACACTGCCATTTTTGTATTGATATTATCATTCTTAATAACAGAACTAGTATTATCTGATTGCTCTGCCACCTGTATCTAATCTTAATCCAAGTATGGTAAATGTTATATCAGGAACACAGAAGGCTGGGAATGTCCACAGAGAGGGTAGAATCCTTTTGACACTGAAACGTAAGAAAGGCTTACATAGAAACAGAATTTGCTGGACTTTGAAGCAAAAACAGGGTTTTAACAGGGAGAGATGGGAGTGAGGCTGGATGAAGAAGGCATTCCAGGGAGAGGAGTTAGCCTGGAAAAAGGCACTGAGAAAGGAAAATGCACATGTGTTGGGGGACAGTGAGATAGCACAGAGAGCATAGGTGAGACGAGTCAGTGGGAGACCGGGCGGGAAAGGTGGGGTGGGAGCTAATTGAAGGTGGTTGGCCTTTTACAGGGAGGCAATGGGGAGCCCTCAAAGGGTTGGCTCGTCACTGTGCCAGGGGGAGATTGCCATGGCAACAGCTCTGGGGAGAGACGGGAGGTGGAAAGGCCAGCCCGTTCACTAGTGCCACGGTTTAGGTGAGAGGTAATGAGGATACGAATTAGAGCTAGGGCTTCAGGAAAGGCTAGGAAGGAACCCAACAAGGACAGTGTGCGGAGGGAGAATTAAAGGATCACAGCGGCTTTGTGTACAGAGGGGGAGGCAGATGGAGGAGCGGAGAAGATGCGATGCCTCAGCCCACTGCGTGAAGCACAGGCTCCAAATAATTTCAGCCTCACAGCATGTGATGTTATCTATCTGCCTCTTGTGACAAAGTACTAAATCATTTCTTTTTATATTTTCTACATGGTTCTGGTTAGACCTTGAACTATCCATCCACTCACCCACTTGTTCATTTTTTCAGCCATGTGCTCAGAGTCGATGTGAAGCAAGTCCGATCAGTAAGGAGGTCGTGTCTGCTGCAGACAACCACTTACATGATTAAGGGACAGGGCAGGCTGCTGGAGCAAAGAGGTCCTGCCATGGACGGAGTATTTGTGTCTCCGCCAAATATATATGTTGAAACTTAATCTCCAAGGTGATGGTGTTTGGAGGTGGGGTTTGGGAGGTGACAAGGTCATGAGGGTAGAACCTTCCCGAGTGGGATTGGTGCCCTTTGACAGAGGCCCCAGAGACCTCCCCGCCCCTTGCACTGTGTGAGGCTGCAGTGAGAAGATGGCTGTGTGTGAACCAAGAAGCAGGCTCCCACAGACACCGAAACTTCCAGCACCGTGATCTTAGCCATCCCAGTCTCCATGACAGTGAAGAATAAATTTCTGTTGTTTGTATGTTATATTGTTATAGAAGTCCAACAGAATAAGGCCCCCAAATACATTGATCTGAGTAAGCCACATATTGATTTCTCTTTCTTATGAAAGTCTAGAGACAGTTCAGGGATGGTGTGAGGGTCTATTGTGAAGGGAAATTGGCCTGCTTCCAATTCATTGACTGCCATCCTCAACATGTGGCTTCCATCCTATGATCCACAGGGTCTCTGAGTCCTCCAGCCAATGGAGCACCTTGGAAGTGACATTCTGTGACCTCTGGCCGTGCCCTTCCTGCCTCATTCACTGGAATGCTTGCCGCCAGGTCAGAAGACCAACCATCCTATGTGACCATACCAGAGAGGCCACATGTGGGTACTCCAGCCCACAGTCCCTCAGCTTCCACCCATCCCATCTCAGAAGTGGATTCTCTTGCCCCAGGTGACCTGTCCCCACATCTGATTCCTCCCAGCTGAGGCCCAAGTGTCATGGAGCAGAAACAGGCCAGCTCCAATGTGCCCTGACCCTTAGAATCCCCAAGAATAATAAAGGGACTGTTGTTTTCACCACTGGGTTTGTGTAGATAACTGGCACATGAAATGAAATCATGCACTCGTGCTGTCGTATTTATCGTCTTCACTGTTGATCTACCACACTGAATGTAAGCTTTCCGAGTGCAGGGATTTTTGCCTGTTTTGCTCATGGCTGTATTTCAGCACCTCATAGGGTATGCAGCATACAGTAGTTGCTCAATAACTATGAGATGAATAGCTGGGTTTTTAAACATATACACAGAAATAGGGGAGCAGGAAAAATCAGCTCAGCCTTTTTCTGGCCAAAGCAAAGAGGGTCACATGAAGCTCACGAGATTCCCAGTGACTGCAAGATAAATCATACTGGATGCTTTGGAAAAGCCTAGATATTTCTGGCACAGTTCACTGCAATCAGTTTTACTCCTATGTTATCCTTCTCCATCATCTTCCTAGATAGTGAGAGATTTTCCAGGGTTTAGGTTATATCTTATCTTGCTTCATGCCAAGCCTGGAAGATCCTAGAAACTCTTTGGTGCTCCAAAAATATTTAGTGGATGAGATTTCCATGCATCCAAATCACAGAGCCAAGTTTTATATCCATGCAAGTAAGACAAAACTGAGGTCTTAATTTGGAAAGGAATGGATCAGCTAATTAATATGCAAAGTCAGCAGCCTCATGTATTTTATGGTTCAAACAGAACTGCATGTCCCTGAGCCCAGTCAATTTCCTGTTTGTTATCACATTAGGCCTATTCCAAGGCAGATGGAAAATTTGAAGGACATCTCCAGCCATCAAGACTGGCATAAATCTTTCAGAACTGCATACAAATACGTAATATTTCCCATTAACATTTTTTGAAATCAGTATTCACGCAATTCCTTGATTAAGCAGGAGCTCTTTTGCCATGTAATTCTGCTCCTTTCAGCTAATTGGGCTCCCAAAATCTATAGTCCTTGTTCTGAACCCCTGTTGATGTTAGGCCTGCTTTTAAGGCATGTTCTGTTCAGAATTCCATACAAAGATTTTTGTTGTTCCTCTTTGACCTTTACTCTGCCTGAGTGTTTTTCAGCAATTAATGACGGGAACAATAGCGCCTATTTCACAGCCCCCCGGGCTCAGCCCTTCTGTAATCTCCAGCACAGCCCTAAGAAGTTGTACTGGCATCACCATGTTACATATGGGACAGTGAACAACCTGCCCAAGGTCACAGCAAGTGTCAGAGCCAAGAGCTGAACTTCGTGCAGGTTCGACTCGACCGCAGCTATATTCTCTGGCTTTGCTAGAAGGGATGGAAGACAAACTGGCATTTATAGAGCCCCTACTCTATGTCCCACACTATCTTCAGCATGACAACATTTCTTTTAATCATTTTAGAGCCACATTCTAAGTACACATTTTTATCTACATTTCACATATCAGGAAACTGCAGCTCAGAGATATTTGGCTCTTAGCCCAAGGTTCAACAGCTACTAACTAGTGAAGCCAGGATTCAAGTTCAGTCTGTGAGACTGTACACCCTATGCTTTTAGTTAAGCAAGAACCTAAGCATTAGCTCATGAAAGCCTTTTATCTGGGCAACAGTGATCCATTTGGCATAGTTAGCAGATGGTGAAGTAACATAGGAGGCAGAGGTGTCCTGTGACCTTGAGGACATCCTTGTATAGCTGACTCTCAGCATCTCCTTCTGTTACGAGTTTTAACACTCTCCCTCCCCATCCCCACAAGACCTTGGGAGGACCAACATTAGGACTGAATAAAGAAACTACCTGTCCCAAACCCTTACTTTCCAGATAAAGACATGGAGGCCCAGACAGGCTATGCAGCTGCTCCAGGTTGCTCAGTGAATGGATGACCAACACTAGTACAGAACCCCAGTGTATTAGTCAGCTGATGGTTCATAACAAATGCTGAAGTTTATTTTAAAGTTAAAAACATAACTCCCATGCATATATAAAATGAATACACATCAGGGATTTTTATCCAACTCATGAAATAATGAGAGAATCCGGAAGATGTTGAGACCAGTTCAAAAGAGATTTTGAAGAACAGAGAGATAGATAGACAATGAGGAATGCTGAAATTTGCTGAAAGATGCAATACAGGTTGATATTCAAAAGGACATAAAATAACATGACATAACCTTAGTTTGGGGTTAACTTTCTACAGGGTACAAATAAATTATATCTCTACAGCACAGAGTTCATTTGCATTGCTATCAGTTTTCTACAAGTTAACTTTTCTCCCTGCAGAGTTGTAAAATAGCATCCTTCTTAGGAAGTTGGCCAAAAGTGTGGATACCTATAGGTCGGATAAACCCCACAGGGATTTCAGCACTCCAAGGAAAAGAGTCTGAATAATCTCTTTGGCCAATTTCTAATTTTTCCTGATATAGAAAACCACAGCAATTTCAATAGCTTTCAATCATAAGCATTTATTCATCTATTTATAGGTCAGAAGGCAGTGGGGTGGCTCTGCTCCATGTCTCATCTGGGGCCCAGGCTGAAGGAGGCCGCAGCTTCCTGGGGCATGTTCTTCTCATAGTGGGAAGGTCAAGGGTCCCAGCAAAGCAGGCATAAACACGTGGTACCTCTTCAAGCCTCACCTAGGAAATGGTACATTTTCACTTCTGCCAGATTCAGTTAGCCACAGCAAGTTATAGGAACGAGCCCAATGTTAGAGGGCTTGGTGTATAATGCTTCCTTGGACCTGGGGAGTCAATATTTGCCGAGCAGTAATCATTCTCCTAATTTTCAGTTCGTATTAGGTTGTGCTAAGAGATGCAAAAAATCTGAATACAGCAGCATTGTGCGAACATACAGGAGCAAGGGGCTTTTACATTCAGAGACTTTTGGTGACCATCTGCCCCCTTTTCCAGAAGTGAAGGAAAATATGGTTGGCCAGCCAAAGGTTCGGTCTGAAAACGACCTCACTCTGCGGCTTGGTTTTGCGACATCAGCTCCAATAGTGGGGGGACTCTCAGGCAGATATTTTACTCTTATCACCGGCAGAGTGAAGTGGGTACTGGGCCCTAAAAGTCAGTAGAGGTACCCATTTCTTATATAGGGCACACCTAGCCCTTAAGGTGTTCAGAATTGTCTCTGGGGGGAATACAAAATGACAGGATACCCCTGACACATCCTCCTGAGAGATGGTTTTACTTGAAGAATTTTGAGAAATGTTTTAAATTAAAAGAAGATCGCTGTAGTATGGCACATGCAAAAAATAAATGGTATATAATACTTAGTGGATTATTCTACCGTGCTGTCTTAGTCTTCCTTTTGCCACAAATAATTAGTAGGAGAAACACTTCTTGGTAAACAACCAAAGATGAAGAAGTGGGTGTTTCCAGTCTGACATTCACACAGGGAGCATGAGGCCTGAGCGGGAAGCACAAAACAGAGAACAGGGAACCTAGAAAAGGGCTGTGACGGTGGGGCCCTCTCTGAGACCTGGGAGATAGAGAACAGATTGGGGAGCACCGTTTCTCCAGAGCCAGGGGCTCAAGAGTCTCTTCCCTCTTCTCTGAATTTCTTTTTTCTTCCTATATTTCTCTTCTCTAAAAGTCACCATGGTTACAATCATACCTGCCACTACCATTTATGAATCGCTCCCTCTTGTGGTAGGTTTTGTGCACTACACTTTACCTAAGTTCTTGGCTTCAGGCCCCCTGCCTGGTCCCCATTGACACCGGGGTGTAAACCCTGTCCGGGACTTCCACTTATGAAGCCTGGTCAAGGGTAGTCTCAGAAAATTTACAAACTAACACCTGTTTAAAAGGGGATTTTAAGTCAAGATAAAAACAAACTTGGCTGTTCTTCCTTTGAAGAAGAAAGGAGGTATGCTTCACATTTTTTTCTTGATCAATTTGTAGCATCAAAAGAAAAGTCAAAATACAATGAAATTCTAAATAATGTAGCATCATGCATGTATTAAAATATCTCATCTTTCAATATAATAATGGAAAATGAGGTTCAGAGAGATTGATAATAGGTCAGGTGGCCATAATAATGTGGCCCAAAAACCTATCTGCAATGCATTGATTAATTAGTTGGGTCTCCATGGTTAGCTGTCAGCCTCACCACAACCACATGAGGCAGATGTTATGAACATTCTCCATTTTCCTGAAGATAAACTAATTGTGAAAAAACTGACATAGCTTCCCCAAGGCCACTTAGCCAAAATGCGCCAGTATGGAGAGTGAAACTGAGATGTTCACACTTAAACCTGTGCTATCACTGCTGTCCTATGAAATCCCTGCATTATAGCATCTTTTGTTACATTCACATTACCTGGGGACAATTCTCTCTCATTGTGAAGAACTTTGCAACAATGGGGGCACCGTCTTCTGGGCTTTGGAGAAAAATCTGGGTTGGAATCATTGCTCAGCTGTTGTTCTCTGACTTTGGGTAATCTGTATACATTCTTCAATTTGCATTTGTGTAATGCGTACTTCAGTGGGCAACTGGGGCGATTAAATGAGGTAATGAAGAAAAAGTGCTCCACACAGGGCCTACCCCCGACAGGGCCCCCGGGAAGTGGTGAGGGTGGTGGATGACAATGATGGTGGGATTCCTTGGAAGGTAACTCACTGGAAACATTCAAGCAGATACTGAAGGACTTGGCTGTAGATGGACGCGGATTAACATTCTGTACCTAGGTTCACGATCCTTTAGGGGGATGTGAAATCACCAGAGTGGATTCATGTTATGGGTTGAATTGGGCACCCCCACCACCCAAATTCTTATGTTGATTTCTTTGTCGACTGTATTTGGAGATGGAGCCTTTAAACAGTTAAAATGAGGCTGTTAAGGCCCTAATCCAATCTGACTGGTGTCTTTATAAGAAGAGGCAATTTGGACACACAAGAGGCACCAGGAATGTGAGCATAAAGAGAAAAGAAGGAGCAAGAAGGTGGCTTCCCTGCAAGCTCAAGAGAGAGGCCTCAGAAGAAACCAGTCCTGCCAAGATAAACTTGATCTTGGATTTCCACCTTCCAGGATTGTGAGAAAATTAGTTTCTGCTATTTAAGCCCCCCAGTCTGTGGTGTTTTGTCGGCAGCACCAGCAAGCTAATACAGGTCGAAATCAGCGCTTTACAAAGTATGGAATAGCAAATATCAGAGGGCATCACTGTTGTCAGCACGGCACTGTTTCAGCAGGTTATATGGATATTGTATTAGGTGGATTGGGTTGTGATGTAAAAGCTGAGGCACTGTCATCAAACGTGGAACAACCCTGGACTTGACAGCCAGAAGTTCTGTTCATTTCTGTAACATAGTAATTGCCATGATTGTAATGAATATGTTAATATTCATAGTATATCAGTTTTATGTATTAAGTGCCTCCAAGTGCCAAGGGTTTACAAATGATAACTCCCTTAGTCTTGAAATATCCCTTTAAGGTAACTGTTATTTCTGTTTTACAGGTGAGGCTGAGACCGGTTATTTAACCTGCCCAGGGTCAAACGGGGACAGAAATCCTGCCCAGAACAAACTCTCTCAAAAGCCTGGTTCTCCCCATCCAGCATCATTGAGCAGCTACCCATAATCCTCTGCCCAGTTACTTAGCACCCAGGCATCAACTTCTCCTCTGCAAAGAATTCAGCGATGGAAATTAGGAAGACCTTGCACTCAAGAGGCTCTGTACGTGTGACTGACTAAGGGCACAATGTGCCTTTTATGGTCGCAGAACGAACACGGAGCACTTCTGTTGGCATGGAGCTTTCCTTCTTGTCACTAAGGTAAACAGAGCGTCGGGATGTCTGTGGGGGTGGGCAGTGGGGCACAAAGGTCTGGTCCACCAGGACTAGAAGGAGGTGAGAAAACAGTCCTGGCACTCCTTGTCCGAAGACACCGTGAGGAGCTCCGTCAGCCCTCCCAGATCGCAGGCTTGGGGCCAGAAGCTCTTAACACAGGTACATGGCTCATTAGCGGGGAAATGGCAGTGGGTAATTGGAATATGTAAATGGTATGGGCACACAGTGTGTTTTAACAATCAAGACCCAAAGAGAAGGAGCTTAATTCGGTGGAGAGAAAGGAACAGGCGGCCCAGGAGCCTATTACTGGAGCCAGAGGAGAGATGCTCAGCTCAGGGAACCGGGACGAGTGGGGCTGAGGCACTGGGTGAGTTTGTTTCCCCCTCTCAAATGCCAAGGGACCTGTGATCCAGCCCTGCCTTTTTCACGTACCAATTCTTGTGGACTCTCTTTCCTAAATATGTTTTGCAGCCAATCGCCTCCTCTCCAGGATCTGTTACCAGTTTCCTTCTGGACCTCCACGTCCCAGCTGGGCACCACCAAGAGTCTTGATTGAGATTGCTTTCACTGAAGTGTTTCTCCCCCTCCCAAACTCTCCTCCACAGAGTCATCAGGAAGCGCTTTCTGAAACTTCCTGGGATCAGTCACATGAGTCCACGCATAGAAGAGCTCCTGGTCCCCAAGTTCATAAACTCAGTGCACAGGCAAGCTTGTCCCCCACGGCCCCCTCTCCATGCATACCTGCCTCCAGCCACCTTCACCTCTTGCCTTGGAAACTCCATGCTTTGTCTTGACTCCCAGCTGTGCCTATGCTGAATTTCCCACCTGGTAGAGCATTCCCAGCAAGGAATACAATCTAGATTAAAAGTATAGTCGCAACATAACCTGAGATTGAATCCTGGGACCATCACTTCTTATCCACGTAACCTAGAGCAGGTACTTAACCTCACCAAGTGTCATTTCCTCATGGCTAATATAGCAAGCAGTAACCATGATGCCTATCTTATAACTTTGTTGCTAGGATTAAATGAGATAATCTACAATAAAACACTTAGCCCTGTGCTAGGTATATAGTAGGCACTCAATAAATGTAAGTAATGACGATGATGAATGAGCATCTATCATGAGCCAGGTCACTGAAAGGCATCAACCACACAGAGGTGAGTAAATTGTTTTGCAATGTTTATCTCATTTTTTCAGCTAAATGCGTGTGGATGAAGTGAAGAGTCCTATGGCCAGGATTCTCACCTGGCCCTGGTCAGCTTGCTCACTACACAGCTTGCTCACTACACACGTATGGGCAATATGTTGTTATTGACTCTATATAAAGAGCTCCGCCCAGTGCTCTGGGCGACACGGTGGCACAGCTGCAAGGCTGCAGGAGAGCAGAGATTGGAATGGTGGCAGCGCCGAGGACAGAGACCTAGATGGCTGCGAGGACGGAGAGGCCCAGAGGCAGAGACTGACCTGCTACATGCAGACTTGCTCTGAGTGGACGGGATTCTAGTGACTGACCTGCCACTGTAGGAATAAAGTTGGGTATAAACCCTTTTACCCCAAGAATGTTCCATTGTCATTCCTGGGTCTCGCTGAATCCATAGTGAACTTGCGCGGGGATGAAACCTATTGGCAAGGCAATGTGGAATTAATCAGTCAATTTTCTTTTTTTCCTCCTGTTTCCCACAGAAGAGAGCGACGCGTGAAACAGGTTACCAATAAATGCTCACTGGAAGGGTGAATGGATGAATTCATTAAGTAGATTAATTGGATATTTTACCCAATACACGTTTCTCCTGCTAGCTGAAGCCTTCAGTTCCTCTGAAGCCTTTCATAAGATGAAATGGTACCAAGTAAAGAAGCAATTACCATTCATTTATATGGAAAGATTTTTGAGTATTCCCACCACCCCCCAGTAATGTCTCTCTATAGGCTTTTCGGATACCTTAAGACCCATCTTGCTAATGGAGGCACAAAATAAGTTGAGATAAAGTACAGGTGCTCACAGACACAGTCCAAAGCTCTGGGTCACAGATATGACGCTGAAATGCCATATGTGGGTCCTGGCCCCGTTGCTGCTGGCAGTGGTGGCTGCTGCCTCTGCAGGGTTTGCTGCAAAACCTGCACTAGCGCTGTCGTTTTCCACCCTTTCTGTAAAAGGGACAGTTCTCCCCAGATATGGTTAGCAAAAACAGATCCCGAAGTAGGCCTTTTGTAAAAGCAAAGTGGTATAGCTTGAACTTTTAAAAGCAGGGGACCACCAGTATAAGCCATTAAAAGAAAAAGACAAAAATAACATTAAGAAACATGCAAAAATAAATTTAAAAGTTGATGTAAGAATTGCAAATGTGAGTCAGGGAAAAGACACATTTTTTTCCCCCAGTTGAGAACAATCTAAGCTAAATCCTTTAATTACTGCCATCTGGAGTGAAGGTGAGCGCAGCTAGACTTGGAGCTCATTCATTCCCCGTCACAGACTTGGAGCTCATTCATTCCCCGTCACACCTGACTCGAGCTGCTTCCTCATCTACGTCCTGATGCCTTTGCGTAACGTAGTAAATGTACACAGCACACATCACAGGCTGAGCATGGGTCCCTCCATGGTGCTCCAACCAAGTCTAAGGTAGGAGGGCAGGAAACACTATCTCATGTTGTAGATGAGGAAACTGAGGCTACATATGAGTCCAGCAACTTGCCTAAGGACACTAAGCTCAAAGCCACAGAGCCAGGACTAAATTCCAGACTCCAGGCTGCCCGCACCCTCAGGGTGACATGCGCAAGGGCATCCTTTTGCCTCTTCTTATTCATTTCCAGGAAGGCTTCTCACCTGCAAGGGAGCAAGAGCTCTTCTGCCCTGATGGAGACGTCCGTGGGCATGTGTTGTAGTTGGGTTTTCAAGAATCAAAACTACATATAGGGAAGGCGTGGGATGCTGCTATTCCAAACATATTTCCCTTTTGCCTGGACTGCTGCCAGACCCCAAATTGGAGCTTGCCCTGTCTCCTCCAAACCAGCAAAGGGTATCTGTCTCCTTAGCTGCAAAGACCTACCTCACTGGCTCCTCTCAGAGGTCCATTTATAATTAGGTGCAAAGCAAGCATTTTGTGGATACATAATTTGATCAGAAGCAGTTTTATGTGGAACTCTATGATAGTGCAGAAGGTATTCATCAGTCTACATATGGGGATGTTGGCAGAAGCATTATGGGCTGGGAAGACGATGTGTATGCAGGAGCCGTCCCCATTCTAGTGGGGACACATCTCCCCACCCACGACTGGAAGATCCCATGTCATCAACCTGCCATGAGGTAGCTGGCTAACCCCCTTCTCCGGGGAAGGCACTATGTTGGGGACTCAGCACTGTTTGCGTATCAGGCATACTACAGTAGTGTTGGAATAGTCGTCCCCAGCATATTAACAGAGGGTAATTATGGGTAACGAGGTTATTATCATTGCCTTTGTAATGATTTGCATTTTGTAATTTCTCTACAACTGCAATGCATTTCCTGTGCAACAAATATTAAAAGTCAATTTAAACAGGGTCTAAAACAGTTATTGAATGTGTTTTAGGAACAGGGTGAAAGGGTAAGTAGGCCCCCATTAGCCTGTGCCCGAGACCTACAATTCTAGCCTGCTGTTCTGATTACAGTAATAGTAACAACTCCGACGTACTGAGTATCACCTCCCTGCAAACACGGTTCTGTCTGTCTTGCCACTGGATGCTTACAACCCTGGGAAGAATGACAGAGGAAGGAACGTTTGGCCTCTCTCTTTACTCATTATCAGGAAGGAAGAAATAAGCATACCTGCAAGGGAGAAAGAGATGATCTGCCCCAACGTGCAGTGACGAGAAGGCTAGGAAAAGGGAAAGCAGCAAAGGCAGAGAGAAGGAGTATCGGGTGGCAAGTCTGGGGACTAGGAAGTGGTTGAGTTTTCAAGCATGGGAGCTTAGGTTGTGCAGAGCTGAGATGGAAAGCCAGGAGGGGATGCAAATGTCCTGTCGTTTGCACATGACCCCCATGGATGACCTATTGTTTGTGGATACTCTGACAGGAACTCTGTCGTGGGGACTTTGGGTCTCAAAGAAGATTCCTTCCAATGGGATACGGGATGCTTGATTTCCATTAGCTGTCAGTGTGCTGTACAGTTTTGAGATTATAGCCTCCCAAATGGCACTCAGAGTGCAACCCATTTTTCACGACATTTCCAAACATCTTATCTGAACAAGGGTCTCTACTGGATTATAAAACCATCGAAGCAAATTAATTTCCAAACAACCTGGCAGTTTCTCTATCACTGGATTTAATGGAACAGAGTTATGAATTTGATACTGACTTTACCTCACCCTTTGTGGAAGGTATGAACAAAGCCACTGCACTTGATCTTAGAACATTAATATTTGACAGTTTTCAGCTCTCATCAAAATGGAAGCCTCCCCAAGTGCCTGAGAGTCCAAACTGTTATTTTAGAAATCTGGACTTTTGATGAGTTGCACAGTAATGAATTCTCAAGTTTTCTTTCTATGTGGTCCTTGATGAGTCTCCTTTCATGCTTATTTTATGAGGCTTTTTATTTTAAGTACTGTCAAAATGTTTTTGTCATCATGTTACTCAAGTTGCAACGGGTACTAATACTTCCTAAGAATAAAGACTTTCATATGGTAAAAGATAAAACCCCAAATCTCATACACAAACATACAGTGAGTGCTTCTGTCATATGACAGGTATTGTTCTGGGGCTCTACAGTCTACATTCACTCATTCATGCTGTAATTAAGTACTGAGAGCTACTATATAATAGGCATGTACTTAAGCTTTAGGGATAGGATGCTGAGTCCCTGCTCTTGCTTATTGAGATAATAGTAAACAGGTAAACAAAACATAAATATGATCACTTCAGACAGTGATAAATGTAATGAATAAATAAATGGGAAGGGATGGAGAGGGATGGGCAGCTTTAGGAAAAGTGCTCAAAGGGAACTAATTGTTTTCTAGGTGGTTGGGATTGGACTGGGACAGAACGGGGTGCAATAAGGGTTGGAGGGCACGTGCACCTGCATTGCACCCAGCTTCAGTTTGGAGCTTCTCTCACCCAGGCAATATTTCCTTTTCTCTGAACCTTTTCTTCTTTCCAGAGTTTGCACTGACTGGTTACCCACCATGCTCCAAACCGTTGCTGAGCATTAATATTTTCATAAACATTTACTGCTGTCCCACTGTGCACGGAGTCACATTTCTGTTTGCAAATGCCACTTCGGGTAATCTTCCCCAAACCCACCCTGAAGCCCACTTACTAATAACTAATCTTTCTCCATCGGGTGGTGGTCATGGCTCTTATTTTATATTACGTTCTCATATTGGAATCACTTTCTGGCCCCCGCTTGTCATTTAGGTCTCACTTCAAAATGTCACATCCACAACGAGGCCTTTCAGGACTAGCCAAGTAAAAGAAGTCCCCCCACTTCCAACACAACGCGCAATTTTGTTTAAGCTGGATTGACCAATATTGGAAATTACACTGTCTTCCCCTTTCTCTAGAATGAAGGCTTTGTGAGCAGAGGGACCTAGGATGCCCTGGTCGGAAGACATTACCCCTCTACGTAGGGCTCACTCATGTGGTTTGATCGACTGAATGAATGAACAGAAACTCAGGCAAGAGAGGGAATGACTTGCCTGGAGCGTAAGTTAGAAGCCAAACCGATTCGCCTTGCTCTTTACATTTCTTCAGCCCTGCGCCCAAGCTGGCGGAGGTGCCATTCAAGGGCAGGGGAGGTGAGGCCGGACCTATCCACCAAGAACCAGGAACCAAAGAATAGGGAGCCGGTGTTGCTAGCACAGGGCGCTAGCGCAGGGCGGGCGGGCCAACCCAGCAACTTGGATTTTACTTCTGAAGTCAAGAAGCAGGGCTGGGAGTTGGGGAGAAAACGTAGAGCTGCAGCAGCGAGGCGAACGCGGAGAAGCAGGCAAACCCCGGCCCCAGGGCCGCGCCCTCCCTCGAGTTCCCTTGCTCCCGCCCGAGGGCATCCCAGCGCCCGCTGGAGCGCCGGGAGCCCCGCGCAGCAGCCGCCGCGCGCACAGCCCCGGAGACCCCCGGCCCGCGGGAACCGCAGGCGGCGGGAGACGCGGGGCCCCGCCCAGGTCTCCCGCCGCGACGGGGCGGGACGATGGGGCCCCACCCCGGAGCGGGCGGGGGAGGAGGGGGCGGCGTGCGCTCGGCTCGCGACGCGCGGGCCCGCGGCTGCCGCGGCGGGGCTGGGGCTGGAGCGGGCGGGGAGGGGCGCGGGGGGAGCGCGGAGGAGGGGCGAGGCGGCGGCGGCGGCGGCGGCGGCGCGGGCGCGGGCGGGAGGGCGGCTGGCAGCCGGCTTGTAAATAAACTGCGATGCTGTCTCGGGCTCGCCGGCCCGGGTGCCGCCGCCGCCGCCCCGGAGCGCCGGTGCCAGGCTCCCGCCGCCGCGCGCCCTAGCGCCTCCGCGCCGGCCTCGCGCGCCCTCGCCCGCTGCCCGCAGTCCCCGGCCCGCGCCCCTCGGGGTCCCGCGGCAGAGCCGCGCGGAATGTGACCCCCTTGGCCCCCGCCCGGTCTCCCCTGCCCCCCGGGGAGACCGCCTTTGCCTGCTTTGGAGGGGTGGGTGGGGAGGGGCGCGCGGATCATGGCATTGGAGTTCCCGGGCTTGCAGCCGCCGCCGCCGCCTCGTCCGCGCACCCAGAGCGCCCCTTCCTCCCGGAGCAGCAGCGGAGAAGGCGAAGCGGACGGCGGGGGCGAGGCAGATGGGGCTCAAGGCGCGCAAGGCTGCGGGGGCGTCCGGCGGCGGCGGCGGGGGCGGCGGAGGCGGTGGGGCCGCTAACCCTGCCGGAGGGGACGCGGCGGCCGCCGGCGACGAGGAGCGGAAAGTGGGGCTGGCACCAGGCGACGTGGAGCAAGTCACCTTGGCGCTCGGGGCCGGTGCCGACAAAGACGGGACCCTGCTGCTGGAGGGCAGCGGCCGTGACGAGGGGCTGCGGAGGACCCCGCAGGGCATCGGGCTCCTGGCCAAGACTCCGCTGAGCCGCCCTGTCAAGAGAAACAACGCCAAGTACCGGCGCATCCAAACTTTGATCTACGACGCCCTGGAGAGACCGCGGGGCTGGGCGCTGCTCTACCACGCGCTCGTGTGAGTACCCGACCGCTCCGGGCGCCCCTTGGCGGCGGCGCAGGCGGGGGTGCGGGGTGCGGGCTGGAGCTGAGGGCGGCTCTGGGGCTTTAAAGCCGAGGGTAGCCTGTGTGCTTAACTGCAGACCGGTCTGCCCTCTCTGTTCTGTGCTGTGTTCGTGTGTTTGGGAGCTACTCTCTAGGTGTTGGACACCAGAGCTTTAAAGATTTGAGGGTTCCCCAGCTGATTTGGAGAGTGGATTGGCATGTTTGTGCGCGCGCGGGTGCGCATATGTGGCATCTCCTCCGCATGTTGGTATGGAAGCCTAAAAGAATGAGGTGGTTTCTCCAAATAATGTGGCGGTTGAACGGGATAAAGCGGATCCTCCCATGCGCTGTTTCTGGTTGGGGAGGGTCCCTTCTCTCGGGATCGCTGCTGAGTTTAGACGCTATTGGAGTTGGGGGTGGGAGTGGTACTCTGCCCATAGTCGGGGTGTGTGGTGCGCGCGCGCGCGCGGATGAGCGCGGGTATGAATTGCTTGCTCGTGCCTCACTTCTTAGGGCTCCCTCCTGGTACAGGAAAGAACCTGCTGTTGCCCCAGTGGGGGGCTTGGATTTACTAAAATGCTTGTCTTTGGGTTCTTCTAGGGAAGTTAATTGAGGGAGAAAGAGAAAGAGAGGGAATGACTACGAGTATCTTGGGCTCCAAGCCTAGACTAAGGGTCTGGGGCTTAACCGTGCCTGGAGGAGAGGGGCGGGGTTATTTTGGCTGAAACAGGTCCGTGAAATCCTCCGAACATCAGCTGCACTCTGGCTTCGATTGGGCAGGGGCGGGGACATGGGAGGGGGGCCTGGCAGGAGCTTTGCTCCCAGGCATCCTTCCCCTAGAAAGAGTTCCCTTGCTACTCAGGGTATAAATGCATGGCCAGAAGGAAGATGGACCTGACCCCCTGGGTAGAAAATCCCCCTGTATTTGGGGAGAGGGAGAGAATGGTAGCGGTGGCTTCTCACCTCCAAGGGGCTGTCACGGCCGTCAGCACGCTGCAGGGCTGGTAGGGCACTTCCAGCCACCCCTTGCCTCCTGTCTGTGGCTTAGTCATCTTGATGGCTGCTTCTTAGGAGGCTGTACCATTATCAGGGTTTTGGAGGGGAACTGGCCATGACTTTGAGCCCTTTTGTGCCTTTAGCCGTGGATATTCCTCTCTGTCTTCCTCCAGTTGACCAGCGACTGATGGGGTCTGAAGGGGTTCAGAGGGCCTTGGAGTTGCACTACCTGCCAATCTTCCTTGGTTGGAACAGCTTTTCCACATTTGGCCACCAGGTGGGGGCGTCTGCACAGGACCTCAGGCTTGGCAACAGGTTTTTTCAGAGAGGTTACGAAGCATCCCTGAAACAGAGGGGCCATCAGGAGGGAGGGGGGCATCCAGCCAGGAACGTGGATTTCGGGTGGTCCAGCCTGTGGCTTCCACGTGCACATGTACTTGCAGGTGTTGGTGGCTGGAGAAAAGGTTAGCAATGTTCTTCCACTCTTTTTTGAGGTGGTAAAAAGGGATTAAAAACACATTCCTCTCTGTCTCTCAGCATTGCATTTAGTTAAATTGAACTGAGGCTAATTCTGGAATATCTATAATAAAAAAGAAGAAACATAGAAATTATTTGAGTGCACACAGCATACACAGATTCATATGTCCTTTGCATGTAAATGACATTTTGTATGTATTGGCTGACTTCCAAACCCAGGGTCCCACTGAAGCTTATGGGCTCCCTGTTCTTTCTCCTCGCACAGTTCCCAGCCAGCCCCTTGGCCCTGCCTCCCCTAGTCTGGGGAAGGGATAGGTAAGGCCTATTATTGACAGAGCCTCAATTTTATCCTTTTCTACAAGTGTCCCATCACCTGGAAGCAGCTTGGAGAATGTGGAAACCTGCAGCCTCAGTTTTTCAGAAAGGGTCAGGACAATGTAACACTGTGGGCAAAGAGAGAGTTGAAGATCTAGCCAGGTGCTTACAGACATACAAATTGTGTATTTCATTTCATTCTCACCAGGATCCTATGAGGTGGGAATTATTATCTACATTTTGTAGATGAGGGTATGAAATCTTCAAGTGATAAAACTACCCCTTGCCCAAGTTCATACAGCTGATGTTTCTGGAGCTCACATCTGATGCTGTTGGTCAGCTCTGTTTCTGAGCCTGATCCCAGTTCTGACCCTCTGCCAGCAATTGGGGGACCGTGGGCATTTCATTAGATATACCACTGGATGCCCCGTGCCCCACTGGTAACACAGAGCTCTCAGTAATGCTTCGGCCTCCCATTCCTAGCTCTCAGTTGGCAAGTAGCTGGAAATGTAGTTGGGATCAAAACAGGGCTGGTCAGAGCCCAGGGAACCACAGTGTTAGAGAAATGTGGGCCGGGCTGGGTGATGGTGAGTTTGTGGATTCTGGGGAACTGGGAGTTATATGGGAAAATCCATGTTGGGTTGGGCTTGAGCTCCTGGTACTGAAGCCGGTGTAGTGGATGCACTGTACATCCTCCAGCTTAGGAGGAAGTCCAGTCAAGTGGACAAAATCGAACCTTTCATTGATGATTCAGGGTTTTGCAAGGCACAGAAATCTGTGCTTCCGAGCATCCATTATCCTGTTCTGGGCTGTAGCTAATGGCATGAAGGGGGACTGACCATGGGCTCACAATCTAGTGCATGCTTTTTAGTGAACCAGAACTGTGAGATGTGATTTCCCCCCATTCTATCCTAAAGGTAGATTACAAATGGGGAAATCAAAGACCCCTGCCCTGACCAGGCTCCTCCCTTTGCCCTAAATGCCCATCCTCTACTTTCTCCTGGCTCCTCACTTTCACCTCCTCAGCCCCAGTGTCCCCTCCTCTGGAAAGCTTTTCTCTGATTCTCCAGACTGAGCTAGAATTGCCCCTCCTCTGCAGTCACAGGATTTTGCACACTGTGCTGGACTGATTGGCTAGTTCATCTCCCTCATTGAACTGAGAGTGACTTGAGAGGAGGGGCTGCATTGTTCTTTAGCATTCTCAGCGCCAGCAGATTGTGGGGCCCATGGTGTTTGCTTGGCAAGTAGTTTTTGAATCATGGCTGCGTGAAAGAGTATTTGTCAGGTTAACCAAGGCTTTGTTCTGTGTGGCTTTACCATTATCACAACAGCAGCAACAATGAAAATAGCCAAAGTTAGCATAGGATTGCGACAATAAGAATAGCTCTCAGAAGTCCTAAAATGGACTGGAGAGGGTGGAGGAAGATAGGAGACCACGCTTTACTCTAGTAAAGCTGACAGTATCTCTGCTTCTTGAGCCTTGAGGCTGAAGAGGATTGTGAGGTTGTGGAAAATGTGCTGGACTTGGAGTTTACATTTGGGTTCTGCCTTCGCCTCTGGGATTTGGCATGAGGCAAACCGGGTATGACCTGTAAGTTGGGGCTGATCGCTGCCCTGTTATGGAGTGGGGTGAGGGGTTAGGCTGAAAGGAAATAGTGTATATGAATGGAACTAGCCCACCAGGCACTCAGCATCCATTATTAACTATGAATAGGGGTCTCCTGAAAAGTTATACACACCAGCTACTTTGCTGCCCAGCGCTGTCCAGGGACTCCCCCTTCCTATCCCAGTAGTGGAGAGATAGAAGCTGGCTTCATCTTGGCCTTGTTGCTGGATTGGCTCAGCACAGCATCCCACGGCCCTCACCACCTCTCCACAGTCAGCTGGGTATGATCACTCACTCACCTGTTGACAGAGCAACGGGAAATGATCCCAAGGAATGCCTGCTGACTGCGTTCTTAAGTGGGCTGGCCCTAGGGACACCTGCAGGCAGAACGGAGAGGCGAGACACAAGGGCCCAGCAGGGAATGTAAAGGACCTGGCTGTGGACTTAGCATCTCTACTGAAGGATCTACTGTCCCCAAGGTGATGGAAAGACTCTAGGTTCCCAGTCAGACCTCCAATCAGGCAGAGTCTTAGCAATTTTGAGGTAAGAGAAATTTGGGTTTCCAAATGTGCTTTGCCTTTTCAACTGGTATGGTCTTGGGCGAGTGGCTGTATCTCTGAGCTTCAGATTTTTCATTTGAAAAACATTATCAAGTTTACAGGCTTTTGTGGAGTTAAGAACATTCAACATAGAAGAAATGTTCAATATGTTATTGGTGTTATTATTGTTACCTGGTCAACAGGTACTTCCTGAGTGCCTTTTCTGTGCCAGTCACTCTACTAAACATTAGGGACATAGCAGTGAATAACACAAAACGCAAGCAATCCAGTCTCTGTCCCAGTAAAACATATGCTCTAACAATAATATCATTAATATTGGAACAAATCTTAGAGTTGGGTCATCTGGTCAACCTCCCAACCTGGGCAAAAGGAATTCCTTCAAAAGCATCTTAGCCAGTGCTACAACTTGTAATCAGAGAAGGGATATTACTTTTCTTTTCTACACAATGCTGGCTTCAATTCTGCCAGTTGTGCTATTTCTCTGACTCTATGTGGATAAAATGAGAGTTCCTGTGGCCAGGATTCTCACCCTCGTTGACTAGCTCACTGCACACCTGTGGGCAACACATGGCTGTTGTCTCTATATAAAGAGCTCCACCCAGTGCTCTGGGCATGACAGGGTGGCAGGGCTGCAAGGCTGCAGGAGAGCAGAGCAGAGAGCTGGAGTGGTGGCAGTGCTGAGGACAGAGGCCCAGAGGACGGCTGTGTGGGACGACTGTACAGAGACGCCCAGAGGATGGCTGTGCAGATAGAGGGGCCCAGAGGCAGAGACCGCCTTGCTGCATGCAGACTCACTCTGAGTGAACGGGATTCTAGTGACTGACCTGCCACCTGGAAATAAAGTTGGGTATAACCCTTTCACCCCAAGAACGTTTTGCTGTCAATTTCTTTGGTCACATTGAATCTACAGTGAACTTGCCCAGGGCTGAAACCCATTGGCAAGACAGTTGGCATAGTCGGCAGGATTCACTGTTGACCAAGGAAAAAGACAGGCTGCCCTTATGGGAGGGGTGCTTCAGC